TTAGGCAGCACTACGTGAAACGGAAGAGGAAATCGGTTTGAATGCAGATCGAGTGGAAATTTGGGGAAAGCTGAGACCGGTACTAACTCGACATTTCACGAGTACCGTGACGCCCTGTGTTGGTTTAGTACGAGAAGCCGATTTAAGTGACATACGAGCGGGCTGTGATGAAGTGCAAACAGTTCTTGCTGCACCAGTTGAGGAACTCTGCTCCAGGCAATTCTACACTCATTTCAAAAGAGGTAAGAACTTCCTTGGCAAAAAGTGGTACTGCTCATGGCTTCTGATAGTATAAGTTTACAATGATCTGTCGCTGCTAGTACTATTTCAAGCTAATCGGACATGAATGTATCTATCCGACTTTTGTTTTTGTGTAGCAACCGCCAAGCATAGACTTTCATGCTTGCCTCGCTGCCCCCAACCAGCGCCAACCTGGAATTTCAGTTTCGCCTACGTCTTACGTGCGGACACTTGAAATTTGACATAGAAAATTTTTGTTTGGAGAACTAGACAAGAGAGGGAGCAGAAATTTTCGGAGGATGTTTTCTAGTCTTGTGCGATCCCAAAAAAAAAATTTAAAAGCTCTCGTTTGCATGTGCATTTCACGGACGGACACGTGAAGTAAGCATTTTTAATAGCAAACATTTCGCTAGATAGAACTGCTCAAAAGGCATGATTGCACCGACTACCCTGGTACGCGCTGCTATTTTTTCATGTGCATCAGTGTTCGCTTCACAAGCGATTATTTTTGGGTGTGCAAGTCAGCGACAATAAACATGTGGTAGTTGTCATGAATGTCATGAATGGGACCCTTTCTCCGAAAATTGTTCGGCAGGGAACCGAACCACTTCTCTTCATGTCCGAACGCAGTGTGTTGCCACTACACCAGCGGTCCTTGTGTTCCAGATCCAGCTTGGCAGCACATCTACTGTGTATCTGTCTTTCCAGGCAAGAGACGCCTTCTTTTTATGCGTTTTTTATGCGTTTTTTGCATCTATGCAATGCAAAAACGCATATTGTC